ACAGAGACAGAGACAGATGAGACAACAGAGACAGATACAGACAGACAGACAGACAAGACACAGAGACAGAGAGACAGAGACCAAAAGAGACAGAGACAGAGACAGAGACAAACCAGAGACAGAGACAGACAGACAGACAGACCAAGACACAGAGACAGAGACAGGCAGAGACCAAAACAGAGACAGAGACAGACAGACAGACAGACAGACAGACAGACAGACAGACATCACAGCAGCAAAGACACGGGGAGTGCCAGAGAATGAGGAAACAGGAAGGTTCTCATTTCCTTACTGCTGGAAGGGTGAGAAGGGAAAGTCAACCTTACTGACTGTCCTTCACTTCACACTTTGATCTATGGTGACTCGGGAAAATTAGAATCATCAAAGAAATGTTAATTTGATTGCAAAAAGGAAAAATAATAAGAGAATGAAAGAGAATTAAATTATAAATTGATTGAAAATTAATTTGATTGCAAAAAGAAAAAGAAAAGAAAAGAAATAGTATTAGTTTATATATTGATTGAAAAAAGAGATAGATGATAAGAGAATGAAAGAGAATTAGATTATAAATTGATTGAAAAAAGAAAGATGAATAAGAGATGAAAGAGATGATAGATAAATTGATTGCGAAATAGATGATGAGAAAAAGAATTAGATTAGAAATTGAATGAAAGAAATGAAAGAAAATTGATTATAAATTGATTGAAAAAAAAAGAAAATGAAAGAGAAATGAAAGAGTATTAGATTTATATTTGATTGAAAAAAGAGATAGATGATAAGAGAATGAAAGAGAATTAGATTATAAATTGATTGAAAAAAAGAGATAAGATAATAAGAGAATGAAAGAGAATTAGATTATAAATTGATTGAAAAAAGAGAAAGAAACGATAAAAGAATTAAATAGAGAATTAAGATTGATATGTGATTGATTAAAAAGAGAAAGAGATGATAAGAGAATGAAAGAGAATTAATTATAAATTGATTGAAAAAGAGAGAATAAGAGAACGAAAGAACAACCTAATTGATTAAAAATTAAAGTAAATCAAATGAAAAAACAAATATATTATACTACCGGTTGGTATCACCATTACCTTAAAAGGCATGGTACCCCAAATACCCAAAATTACAGTTCATTGCCGTTACTATTAGTACCACGGAGTACAACTGTGTACATCCTTCCCTAGTCAGAATAAAAAAATCAAATAATTCTACTGGCAGCATCAGTAAAATTTAGATAATTTTTGTGCTATTGTGAACAAAGGTTAATCTCGTGTTGATCTCTCTTTCAAAATGCTGTTCTCTTTGATTTGTTCAGCGAGTTATTGCGTCCGAGAATTTGAAATGATGTAACGTTTTCAATTCAATTTGGAACAGGATGGCTATGTCATGCTAAAAAAAAAAAAAAAAAAAAAAAAAAAAAAAAAATGGAGGAGCTGGTTTAACCTAATGAATTTTAAACTAATGACGATGTCTCTGTTAAATTGGTTAGAGACTTAATTAGGGTGGGAATGGCATGTCCCTCAATATCTGTCCTTATAATTTATTGAAAGGGGATCACCTGTAAGGCATGTGCACACATTCGCACACGTTTGCACGGGCGGGCATGCATACGTACACAGTGTGTGAATATGAATACTTTTCCTCTCTCTCTTTTCTTAATCACTCTTTCTCTCTTCTCTAATCTCTCTCTCTCTCTTTCTTAATCACTCTCTCTCTCTCTCTTCTCTCTCTCTGATTTCTCTCTGACATATATTCGTACACACATAAATAAAAATAAACATAAAAAGGGAACATACACACGCAGACAAACTAAAAAGCACACACGCACACATAGTATATGCATATATATATAATATATATATATATATATATATATATATATATATATATATATATTATATATATAGAGAGAGAGAGAGAGAGAGAGAGAGAGAGAGAGAGAGAGAGAGAGAGAGAGAGAGAGAGAGAGAGAGAGAGAGAGAGAGAGAGAGAGAGAGAGAGAGATGAGACAGATAAACAGATGGAAAAAGAAAGAGAGACAGCATATATAACTTCATATATATATGAAGTTATAGACGAAACTGTAACACATATGCTGTCTACAGCGCCGTTGCTCTGAACAAAAACAATAAAAACAGTTATTAAAGCTTCACAGTCATTGAGAAATCATGTTGCCAAGAGTACAATAACCGCCTAGCAAAAGCAATATTCATTTCTCTAGTAATTTTCATGTCCTGTTAACTTGTTCATCGCAGTTTATTGATTACTCTGAATAAATACTTCAAGCACAACAACAACAACAACAACGACAACAACAAAAACAGTGAATGAAATACACGAACCTAAAACAGTATATTTACGAATATATATGTTTTTTGTGAGTGGAATTTCAACATTTCACATTCAGTTTGAAAATAAAACATTTGCCTATGGATGAAATCAGTGTATTCATAGAAAACCATTCGTATTCATGGGAAACTATGTTAATCCTGTGCAGCAG